TCCGATGTTCCGGTAGACATGTAGGAGGAGGATGACGGGCTGCAACTCGTCGGCCAAGCATGTTACAAACGTTCTCTACTGGATTCAAATCCGGTGAGAATGCTGGCCAGTCCATACGTATGATATCCTCCGATTGAAGGCATTCGCTTACGATGTTTGCATAGTGAGGACGGGCGTTGTCATCCATAAACACAAGTTGTGCGCCCATGGCGCCCCGAAACAAACGTACATGTTGTTCCAGAATGACGTCCCGATAGATTTGGCTTGTCATGGTTCCAATTTGAACAGGCAGGTCAGTTCTGGAACCCAGAATAATTCCACCCCAAACGAGCACTCCTGCACCACCGTAACGGTGTCGTTCAATGATGTTTTCTTGGTGGTAACGGGTACTTGGAGCTCTCCATATGAAAGTCCGGCGAGAATCAGACGTCAAGCTAAACCTGGACTCATCGGAAAACATCACACAAGCCCACTGTTGCGGTGTCCACAATGCATGCTCTCTACTCCAGGCTAACCGCAGGTGACAGTGAGTTGCAGTAAGTGGAACGCATCTGACAGGTCTATGATCATATAGACCAATCTGCCCTAAGCGTCTGTACACGGTCTGCCTTGAAATTGTTGTACCAGTGGCTGAAGAGAGCTGACGAGACAGGTCTGAGGCTGTGCTCCGCCTGTTTCTTTTGGCAGTAACTGCCAAATACCGGTCCTCATTCGGCGTCGTAACTCTGGGGCGACCTGTGCTGTAACGTCTACTCACATTACCATCATCTTGGAATCGTTGCCAAAGCCTGGAGATGACACTCTGGGCAATTCCAAGTTCGTCTGATACTTCCAGTTGGGTACGCCCACATTCCAGACGGCCGATAATTCTACCACGTAAAAAATCATCCAAATGCGTCCTTTGTGTTATAACTATTCGGTTATTGCACTGAAATGCTCATAAAGCGCCTGCGAACAATTTTACGTCTTTGCCTGTATTCCTTATATATCACTTTCTTACACTCTCGTCATTGTGACGTACCATCGGTGACATCTGGTTACTTCCTGAAATCTGCATATGATTCTTGAAGATGTGTGCAGTGATTTTACAGGTGCTTGCTATATTATTTTAGAGTTCGATTTCCGGTGACTCCGAATTATCCTAAATTTATGGACATGAGTGTAATTGATAATAGGAGTATAGTTTTAAATGTTAAAATAACAATTCAATATTGTGCTTCACGAAGCTTGCAGATGTGTAATAATTCTGTTGGTCATCGCGATGCATACGCAGATGAATAAACCTTACATCTGTTAAAGTTACCGTTTGGATATACTCAGGCCAAGCTAGACCGTTTCCATTTGGCGTTGCTGTGCCATCGAAGCTTTACTTCTCATATTTAATTCTTTACTGCGTAGTTGATTCGTTCCATTTTGGGCAGGAGTGGTGGGATTGCAGAGCTCAGCGCACCACGCAGGTCGCGGAGCGAAGAGTCAACGAGGAACTGGTCGTCGCACCCAACTTGGATGGGCGAAGCTCACCCTATGTTCGGCCATCCCGAGTGGGTACATGGCGACTGATCCCTCGTCAACTCTTTGCTAAGCGCTCTGCAAGGTGCGTTGAATTCTGCTAGCCCACGCGAATTTCGGCCATGCGAATGACGACTAGTCGACGACTAGACGAAAGGCATGACGACTAGTCGCTCATTGACTTTTTTCTCCGCGCTTTGCGTGCCTAGGACTCCTTTAATCTCTGCGAGCCTAGGATCCTGCCCAAAATGGAGTGAATTCAATGGGTGAGCCTTGTAAAACGGTTCTTAGAAAAAAAAAAGAAGAAATGAAATTCTTAGAAATGAGAAAAGCAAAAGCTACAGTTTGCGATGACACAAATCTGGATTAGATCATTTAATTTTTTCAAAGACAGTAAGCTGTGAAAAGATACCTCTTTCTTGAGAATTTTCTCGAGAAAACTAAGCGGTTCGAATTTAATAACACGTAAAAGAAACACGAAAATTACGTGTGCCAATCCCTTCAGCCACGAAATAAGACACGAGGCGAACTACTATAGTTTCCCGTTTTTGGTCACTCGGCCACTGGTGAGACTAGTTTAGTTTAATTTAGTTTAGTGACGGAGGACGGGGCACTATCCCTTTACCGTTATGGTTAATTGGTAATAGCACCACGTCCACCCTTATCCAGAGAATAGTGGACCACACAAGGGCCTCGTACAGGACGCCGAAACCCAACGCCCGGACCATCCGACTGGCGGTCATACCGACCAAATGCCCTCGGAGTTGCACGCTCAACTGGTGGGTCTAGGACAAAACAGTAGTCTGTATGTAACGAGTATTCTGAAATCCGGCATTCTTACACTACAGGTCTGTGGTGGTCCCAACAGTGGCCAAGTGAATGCAAGCGCGAAACTGCGATAGCTCGTCCCATGTTCTAAACCCGTTGTTGAACGAGCTGGCACATGTACGAGGCGTATTCGGAAACTAAGTACCACTTTGAAAAAAAAAAAAAAAAAAAGTAAAACAATTTTTTCGAATCCAATTTTGTTTTTACATGAAAATACATGTCTTAAACTATTTGTCAACATAGTTTCCGCCAATGATCAAACACTTGTCATAGCGGGTGACCAGTTTTTGTATACCATCGTCAAAGAAACTTCCCACCAGTTTCGATAACCACGACTCCACAGCATTTTTCGTGTCATCGTCAGATGCAAAGCGCTTGCCACCAAGCTGGCGCTTCATGTGCAGGAACAAGTGATAGTCGGACGGCGCCAAGTCCAGGCTGTACGGCGGGTGATCGACAGTGCAATGATCAACGCAATGCATATTATGAAATGTATATTGTAGCGAGTATATGTAGCAGTGTGTTAGCATGCGATGTAGCCAGGAAAATGTTTAATTTCGCACGCAGAAAAATCTATATTTTGCCCTTGTATGGCCATGTACTTTGCCCTTGTATTGTTTTCGGAGTGTAGCTTCAGATAGTTGCGGGATCCGGACGATACCCGACTAGTCTATGTAAGCCGTCCGGGTGTCCGGACCTGCTCTCACCTGTCACCTGCTCCCAATGAAACTATCGAATTAGCGATTGAATGACACGAGCAGTATGGGGCCGAGCATTGTCATGGAGCAACACAATTCCTTTACTGAGCATTCCTCTTCATTTGTTTTGAATGGCACGCCTTAGTTTTGTTAAAAACTCACAATATCGTGCCGCATTAATGGTTTCACCTCTGGGAAGAAATTCAGTAAGCAAAATGTCTTTCCTATCCCAGAAGACAGGGCACATGATTTTTTGTGATGACATTGTCACTTTGAACTTTTGTTTTTTGGAGAATGAGTGTGTCTCCTCTCCATCGATTGTTGTTCGATTATGGTGTAAAATGACACACCCAAGTTTCATCACCTGCCACAATTTAGTTTAAAAAGTTTTCTCCCTCATCACTATACCGTGTGAGAAATGTCAGGCCACTACCAAGTCGCTTTGTTTTGTGAACATCAGTGAGCATTTTTGGAACCCATCGGGAACACAGTTTGCGATAATTCAAGCGGTCAGACACAATTTCGAACAAAACAGTACGTGAAATTTGTGGAAATGTCTCTGAAAGAGTTTTCATTGGGAAGCGTCTTTTCTCATGAATTTGCTTCATCAACTTTCCTTACCAAATCATCGGTGACAACAGAAGACCGACCACTCCGAGCCTCGGCGTGGATATTTGTTCGACCTGCATTAAACATTCTTACCCACTTTCTCACCATTCCATCACTTATCGCGTATTCACCGTAAACTTCTGTCACTTGACGATAAATTTCGGCCGGTTTAACATTCCTCGCGTTCAAAAATTTAATCACGGCACGAATCTCACAGTCAGCGGGAGAACTAATTGTCTTAAACATTTTGAATGTGCACAGCAAACTGAAAACACAGCATAGAGCAACCAAAATGGCGACAATTGAAAGTCAGTGAACAAGAAAGACTAGTGCGCATGCGCGGGACGCCTACCACAGCGCTGCGACGGCGCTAGAATGAAACGGTACTTAGTTTCCGAATAAGCTACGTAAGTTTCGTGGTTCTCTAACGTGTAAAGTAAATTCTTACCAGTTTGTTTTCTTTAGAAAGTTCTTATCTAAGACATATCTTTTCATAGCTCAGTATGTTTGTACAAAATTAAATGATCCAATCTAGTCCAGATTTGTCTCACCGCAAAAAAAAACTTGACTTTTCTCATGCACCCCACAAGTATCATCGTCTATGTTACTTTAGACATAGTTTAGACTTATATGTTAGAAAAAAGTTGCATGTATGACGTAACTAAAAATGTAATATGCAACACAACCACTAACCCTGAGAAACATCCCTTTCTAAGAAGTCTCTTGGAAAATAATGACAGATAAGGACATGTTGAGTTATCATCTATAGCACTAATGGGTATGTTTTTAATGCGGTATTTCAAAATCTCTGTTTATCGTGCAAACATAAACGTTCTTCAACATCTAAAAGCCCACATTAGCCAAAGTTAATCAAGTATAATTCAAGAAGCATGAATGAATATCGACCTATCGTCTGCATGCTTACTGTGCCTCCTACGGTATACATGTTAAAATTCATTAAAGCAATTATAGTGAGGGAAACATTTCTATTTTACTTTATAATGATGTAAACCAAAATGCTTTTAATAAGGAAGCGATATTTTTATTTAATTTCGACACTTTTCATTCTGGAATACTAAATTTTTATTGTTTTTAGTATTTGCTAAGCATGTCAAGAAATTTTTAATTGTTAACACTTATTTTTCTGTAGCCAATAATTTTAAAAAACAACATACTCACGGTTAGTTGTATAGGTGATGTCTAAAGGTGATAGCTATTAGAGAAATATTATTTTTATTTTTATTTGTTTCCCAATGTTATATTTTACTCTTTTCGTAAAAGATTAATTTTTTATGTGCTTTAATTCTGTGAAATGTTCCAGTATGTAGTTGTAATTAATGATTGATTTTTTTACAGCCATGATGCCTTTGTGGATCTTCACTCTCGGAGCTTCTTTATTCCGAGACCGAAATGCCACCATTCCTTACGTGAATCTTGCGGGATCCTTAATTCTGCTAACTCTTCCAATCGGCATTGGACTCCTCATCCAGCAATACTCGCCACGATTATCCAAGATCTCCAGAAAAATCATTAAACCATTCACCCTCATTTGCGTCGCAGTGGGCATTTCTGTTGGTCTTTATGCCAACAGCTTCGTCTTCTCCTTGTTCACTTGGCAAGTTGTTTTGTCAGGTTTGGGCATTGCTTGGGGTGGTTATTGCTTCGGGGCCTTGATGGCTTGGCTCTTCCGCCTGGAAAGATCACAAATCATTGCCGTTTCCATCGAGACAGCGTTCCAGAATCCTGCCGTTGCATTTGTCCTACTATTGCTATCACTTCCGCAACCAGATGCCGATTTATCTTCCGTGCCTGTAATTGCCCAACTCATGCTGACTGGATTGCCCATGTGGGCCCTTTTAGTTATTACAAGGGTTTATAAGAAAGTGAAGGCTTGCTGCGAGAAAATGAAGGAAGAAGATATTGAGAAACCTGAGATAGACACAGTCCAAAAGGCTTATTGGGCTTTAGCTGTGGAACCACCTAGTGATGATGAAAACGCTAATTTAGAAACAAAGCAACCCAAAGTAGACATTATCCGTATTACGTCCTCTTAAATATCACTGCCTATTAACAGAATTTACTTTTGTGTAATTACCGTATTTGCCGGCGTGCAAGACGCACTCCCTTTTTTTATACAGATTTTTGAAGGATAAAACTTTATTACTGGTCATTATAATGAATTTACAGTATTTTAAGTATAAATACAAAGTAATACTTTCTGCAAATACCCAATTTACCTGGGAAAGAATACCTCTTAACCTTCTTCATTAAAACCCAGACACTCATCTTCAGAACTAAATGAAGAGTCACTTGAAACCTCTTCTAAATCAACATCTGAGTCCTCATACAACAAATTGTCCTCTGTATCATCCAGTGTATTACTAATGCCACGCTTGTTAAATGATTTAACCAATTTCTCTGTTTTCACAACATCCCAGGAAGCTTTGACCCATTCACAGACTTGCGAAATGCTAGGCGTCTCCTTTCTTCCTGATGGTGTAACCTCAAAATTTGAAGATTGCATCCAGCTGTTCCACGCCTCCATCATACGCTACGTAACCGTAATATTCCCACACTCCGTAAGGAAACACAAAAAATCCCATAACTTCTAATAGAGGAAATTTCCAGAAATTAATGTAATTAAAACTGAGTGTCGATGTTTAAGACGCACCCCGTTTTTCAGACCTATTTTCAAAGAAAAAAAGTGCGTCTTATACGGCGGAAAATACGGTAATTTAAAATTTCAGTATACAAATAAATACTGACTTTGTTAACGTAGTTTTTGATGAAATCTACAGGTATTCTTTAAAAATTTAAAAAATACTTATGGTTTTCTTTAGAAATTTGTACCCTTATTTTTGCTAAGACAAAGTTTTTTTTTAGTTTGAAATAGTGAAAATATATTAGTCATTCTTAAATGTAATTAAAACTGAGCCTTTCGGTTAAGGTAAAAGTCATTTTCCTATAATGAGATATTATATTGTCCTACGTTATTCATTGTTTTCGTTTATTGTTCCATTACATATGAAAACTATTATGTGTATCTTGATTGACTATATGTTAGAAATTTAATTCATTTTAATAAATTATTTATATTTTTCATTTGCTTATAACTGCGCATGCAAATAGTATCTCTGTTATCATCATAGACACTGTCCATTTAAGCATGCTCCATGAAAAATATATTTTTAATTGCTAACTGCAAATATTGAAGCAAAGCAACTTTATTAATACATCAAAACTGCATTTTTAGTCTCTTTTGTTTAAGAATCAAATATAAACGGAAGAGTTCCGATTTCTCATCGCATCATCCAGTCTCTCAGCTAATCTCCCTGTTTTTAACATTTATCTGAATTTGATTATCTTGTTCATATGTTGTTGTAGATGATTTATTAATCACTAACTTTAGAAAGAAAGAGAAATGTTATGAAAAAGAGAATTTTGATGACCAATTCGTAAAACAAGCTAATAAAACGATATGTTTATCTGTAAATGAAACTCAGACAGGGTAAATTCATTTCTTTCACTAGTGATTTTCAGCCTAATTTTCTGATTAATTTTTATTCGATATGAGTTATCTTAATTCATTAATGATTTTGTAGAGCATTTTATGAAGAAGACTTTTTTAATGCTGAATAAATTCAACAGGCCTACACACTGTTGGTTACGCACTTCTACTAATATAATGTTTAAAGGCTAAACATTTGTATTTAATTTTGTCTGTTCTTCTTATTAATTATTTAAATGTCTGAGCAATATTTTATGTGTTAAGTTTATCTCTGAGATTATGTGCACATTAATTATTTAATTTTATTTCTATCGCTTTTGAAAAGTACTTTGTAGTCGAAATTTTTCCTGTGTTTGCTTTAATTTTTACACTAGTTTTAAACATAAATTAAAATAAAATTTTAATTTGAATAATAAATGAAAAATTAAATTGTTATATTTTACGTCAAAATCAGGATATGAATAGTAAATGCTAGAATTATGCAGTATAAATTGACAATACATCAAAGTAGCCGATGGAGTCCTTTTGAAGTTGCATTGCTGCTTCCAGATTTTTTTATATTTCAGAATTGGCAGCTATACAATGTTTAGTCTCTTTTGTTTAAGAATGTTTGTAAATATTAAATACATGTGTACGACAAATTTTTCAATTGATATCAATGAAATTTTATATTCTTTTAACTACCTCAAAAATAACTATTACAATTTTTTTATGCATCACATTGCATTAAATCTGAACGATCTTGTATGTTTTACTAATAAAAATAAAATGCTTTCATAAAGTGCCTTATTATTGTTGCACTATAAGTGAATCTGCATTTTGAAAATTTTGATGAAAGCAACATAAACTGAAAAAAAACTGAGAATGAAATGGCAAGATTAATGGACATATTTTAGTTTTTTTTTCTTCTCGCTCTTATGACATACAAAATCTGTGAAAACGATTGTTTTAAACAATTGAAAAAGGCGGAACTTGAATGTTTTGCCTTTTATTTGTATAGTGTTTGATAAGAATCCTATTTAAGGTTTAATTATCAGCCTTTTATATGTTAGTCTATCCCTCAACTGTAAAAAGAAAAAAAAAAAAAGGGGGGGGGATTGTTTTTATCAGGCAACTTAGCTGTGAAGCGAGTTAAGCACGTGATTCAGTTTCGAGATATCAACTATTCGAAGAGAAGGGAATCAAAAACTGTTTTGAGAATTATATAACGTGATGCCTACTTAAGTAATAATTTGATTGATTAGTTTAAGTTTATTTTTCTACAAAAAATGTGTATTAAATTAATTATCATCTATGTTGTTTAACGATTTTTTATTGAACCAGGTGTGTAAATGTCTGCTAACACCAATAAAAGGGTTTATTTTTACCTAATATATAAAATTATATTTTCTTTTAGAAATGGATGAAAAGAGAAATTAATTAATTAATTTTAGTTCCTGTTCTTTTTATTCGTTGGTCCATATCATCCGAATATTAAAAAAAAAATTAGAATTATACATGAAATGTATTTTGATTAAAAAAAGTTAGTTCTTAATTTTAGATAATTACTTTAATATTATAATCCATTGAAATTTATTACCAGATTATACTATCGTTAATGAACATAAATTTTATATTTCATGAAAAATATGTACATTAAAGAAAAAAGTGCTTCTGAATTAAGCGAAACTGTTTTTGTAAATACACTTTGTAAATTTTGATGACTATTTTGTATTATGTACATAATAAAAATATATAGTTTTGAATATTAAAAACATTCTTGTTATCAAATTGTTATTTGAAATTCCATGTAAAGTTTTTGTAATTAGTTTTCCGATTCCATAATTGAAATTTGTTATCAGATATACTTGAGTAATCTTTCTATGTTTCAATCGGCTAACAGTGAAAGGTAATTAATAAAATATCAGAGAGTAGTTTTTTAAAAAACTGTTAATTTCTTTTGCATTGACCAAACTATATTCCATGAATTATGGGTTTATATAATTCTCTTCTAGTGATTCCGCTATTGAAAAACCAAGAATTATTGGATACCATTGAAATCACAAAAATAAATAACTAAAAATAATGAACTTTTTTTTTTTACTTTCGTTGTTATTATTAAGTAAAATAATATATATTATATTTGTTTTTATGAGTAAAATTGTAATAAAATATTTTATCTTCTTTCGATATAAAGCGCAAGCGACGTTACTACAGTTTCATTGCACTTACAGTGGATGGACAAAAATATGGAAACACCTTGTGAAATGCATGTTTGAAAAGAAAGATTGATTTTAATGAAATATGTAGGTGGCGCTGGCGTTTTTGACTACTGACACCACCTATACAACTTCGTAAATGTGCTAAACAGTTCAGTTGTTGTCGGAGTACTGTTATGTGAGGTTGTCATTACATTATGTCAGAGTTAACAGACTTCGAACGTGGGCAAATTGTTGGAGCACGTATGGTAGGTGCTTCCGTAAGCAAGGTAGCCGAGGTGTTTAGTGTTTCAAGAGGTACTGCATCGAAGATTTATTTCGCATATTTGAAAAGCGGAAAAACATCATCTGATAAATCACAGCGCGGACGAAAGTGTGTCCTGAGTGATCGTGACAGACGATCATTAAGGGCAATTGTGACGAAAAATAAGAAGACCACAGCTGCAAAAGTTACTGCTGAAATGAATGTTGTGTTACCGAACCCTGTGAGTACCAAAACAATTAGAAGGGAGCTTCATAAACAGGGAATTGCTGGCCGTGCTGCAATTGAGAAGCCACTCATCAGTGATGCTAATGCCCGTAACAGGAAAAGGTGGTGTTTAAGTCATTTGCCTGGACTATAGAGCAGTGGAAGCGAGTAATATAGTCTGACGAGTCTTCTTTCACATTGTTTCCCACTTCTGGCCGAGTTTACGTCTGGAATACGCCATCTCAAGCCTATAATACAGACTGCTTGTTGCCAAGAGTGAAACATGGCGGGGGCTCTGTTATGGTTTGGGCAGCCATATCGTGGTTCTCTGCTAGCCCCATGATAACTGTGTCAGGGCACATGACTGCCAAGACTTATGTGAACATTTGGGCCGATCAAGTTCATCCCATGGTACAAACTTTGTTCCCCGATGGTGATAGTGTCTTCCAAGACGACAAAGCCCCTGTTCACACAGCTCACATTGTCCAGGACTGGTTTTCTGAGCACGAGGATGAGTTGTCCCATCTCCCCTGGCCACCACAGTCACCAGACCTGAATATTATCGAACCTTTGTGGTCTACATTGGACCGGAAAGTGCGTTCTCGTTATCCACCGCCAACATCGTTATCTGAACTTGCCACCGTTTTGCACGAAGAATGGTACAATATTCCCTTGGCAAACATACAGGAACTGTTTTTATCCATTCCGAGAAGACTGCAAGCTGTTTTGGATGCCAACGGGTTTCCTAGTTTTAAGCAAAGAAACATGTTTTTGTAAAGGTGTTTCCATATTTTTGTCCAACCCCTGTATATGGTTCTAGTTAAATTATGTGTCTCATTGGTAACTAGAACTAGAGAAGAGAGAAGAGTATAGCGACTATTCGCTGTTCTTCTTAAAATTACAGAAACAAAGTCGAAAGAAAGGTTAAAATACCCTTTTATTCAACTCAATAATAACAGTTGGTCACTCTCGGGCTTACAGAAAAGCTTCCATTTGGACTTTAACTTAAGATAGAAAGTAAAAAACTGACTTAATTTTAACTAAAACTTAGCCTCTTACTAAACTTACTAAAACTTTTTAAATAAAATAACTTAACCAAGTTGAAATAACTTAACCAAGTAATAATAACTTAACCAAGTTATAATTACTTGGTAACAGTAATAACTTAACCAAGTTGGCCCTTATTTAAACCTCACCGGCGAATACTAACAGGCACGTAAGGATACTGCCGAACGTAGTAAGATTGGCTTAAAGTAACGACGTGGCCGGAAGGCAGAACACTCTCTACTGAGAACTTCTCAGCTCTTCTACGGGAAGTGACTGAACTTCTCATTAAATACTGGTTGTACCTCATTTACGTAAAAAGCGATACTGAAAACTCGTTCTGGCAGGGAACTGCAGGTGGGAAACACGATAATAAAGAAAAGAGTTTCAAAATGAGAAAATAACTACTAGAAAATTAAAATAATCCCTACACAGAATGATTGGGTTTAGAAAAATTCAAAATAAGATTATCATCATGCTTTGTGTAGTTACATTAGTTATTATATATTTAAAATTTAACAAACAGAAAAATTTGAAGCACATTAAAAAATCCTTCCAAATAATATCTTTGTTTATCATTAAGGTAAATTAATTATGAAAACTTGAACTTCGTATTCTCAAAGAGTGCCATTTCTGTACATCCTAGACAAATGTAATAGTTCGTCTAATATAGTCCTTGTAGATATTCCTGGATACTTTTCAGTTTCATTTTTACTTGCATTTAATCTATAAATTGGCAGCTTAAACGGAGAAGCTACTCGAAGGAGATAGAGAAGGATTTCCAAGCACCTCCTTTCAACAATTGCTCAGTTTCCGTCCCCAACATCTTAGATAAAATATCTGATGTGGGTACCACATGACTTCCTCGTGAGGCCTATTAAATTATACACATTTTTTTTCTGCACTTCATTTAAACCCATTTCCTCGAATTATTGTAATTTAATTAATCAATCTCTCAAGGCAAGTTGAAAATGACATCAAAAATTTGAAATTAAAAATCCCGGTCAATATTTTGTCGCACGGGAGGGAAACTTCTAATTTCATTTTTTCATAACGAGTATAAAACTTTCTCAAATATAAGAGCCGGGAGACCGCAACAAATATTAAATTTCGATATTTGTCCAAAATTAATTTTTTGTAATTTCAAATTTCGAAAACAGGAATATTTTTGTCATTTAAAACACTTGTATGATTGGAAATATATGACTACAACCAACGATTTCGAGGCCGGGTAAGGGTGTGTATATATATATATATATGTATGTAATAGGATGACTCAGATAAAGCTGCAATCGTTTGGCTATGGTTCTTTGCGTTATAATAACTTGGAAAGATTTTACTGCGTAGTTAGAAAGATGACACTCGAAGACAGACGTAACCATAAACTCCAAACATAATTTTATTCCTGGATAATGAATTCTGAGGACACATTTTCATTTTACATCATTATTGTGGGTGCGCAATTTTATAAAGATTATATTTTTAGAACAACGGACAATAACTGGCAGAGCCTAAGCGAGCGAAGTACCGTCCTAACGGCGACAGACGTAGAAGCGAAAGTGCGCAATTATCCGGTATGGAGGCTGACCAAGCGAAGGTTTTGGTTTAACTTGCTTATTAAGAGAGAAGTTTCAGTTCTCGAAATTTTGAGTTTAGGTTTCAAATTAGCTACGTCATCAGCGTTACGCAAGCAATGTGACATCTAGAAATGATGCAATCTAAAGAAATTATTACAGTTTTTAGAATAGAGAGGGGGAATTAAGGACTATTGCTAGTTTAAATTATAATTTCGAGATTTGCATATTTTTTATCTTACATATCTTACACACACACACATATATATATATATATGGGGGATTTTGGTTCTGCTGTTTGCAGTTAAAAAAGGGGGTGCACAACTGAATGTTACAGCAGTCTCATATACAAAATTTTAACGTTTGCTGGGAAGGGAATCATTTTTGGGTTATGCGAGATAGTTTCATGCATACAAATATACTTGGGGGGGGGGAGAAAGTTCTTTGTTTTGTCCATATATACAATTTCACTCAGTCGGAGGCCCCATTACCTAGGCAAGTATTCGCCGTCAGTATGGATTAACAGCTATCCGCCTAGGACGGTTAGTGTGGGCGCAGCCCTTACAGTTTGGCATTCGAGAGGCTCAGTGCCCCGCCTATACCTGACAAATTGAACGAAGACTTTCCTGCAACACGGGTCAAAATTCCGGTTGCAAGGAGCAAATGTTACGGAGAGACACCTTTGCGACCTGGGCACCAATCCGGTCGCGAAAATAGATCATGAACGGTATTCTTACTGTAATGCATGTGGCGAACCAACCGATAACTGGGCAGAACGAAACCCATTAAGACCGTCTTTACCATCCACTATACAGCACAGGACCACAGCCTCGAGAACGGACAAAACAGTACCAGTACGAATAGACGATGGTTCTAGTCCTGTGAAGACTGATTTTGTGCCCCCGTGGTTGAGACTGCCTACCCAAGAATTCTCCTGAGTCAACCCTCGGGGGGGATATCCATATATACAGACAGCATGCACAAATATCGTCCAGATAGATCCGGGAACAGTCAAAATGGGTATTTCTCTTGAAATATGATACCTGAAATTTTTCGCGATTACTTCCTTAGTTTCGTACAAGGAAGCAAAAATGCATGTCGGATAACTCCGTCCTCATCTAAGGTGATGTTCCATACTGCTCGAAATTCGCACGAGGAATGACTATTTACGCCAGCAGAACGCTTTTATCTACCACTAAACAGTGTCTAATACCAACCCACCTGCCATTTTCGCACACACATTCCATTACAAAATTTGTTTATTTTGGTTACATCTTTGCATCTTCTTTTACATTTGTGTCATAAACACCTTCGAATAAAATTACAAAAATAATCGAGTTCTTAGCAGCTAAGGGACAAGAGTTATGTGCTCCCATGTAGCACAATCCCTCTCAGTTCTCCCACGACTAGTTATACTATAACTAGCGAAAAGTAAGATAGCTCAAATGGTCCACAGAACTTTGTATGTGATAATTAAGCACTTGTTCTATCATAAAATAAATTAAAAATTCAAATTAATGTAACCGCACTACAACATGCATATTCATAACAGTGATATGTTAAATAGAATTAATTTGGTATAATTTGTATAATAGGGACTTTGGCAAACTATGAGATTGCAACAAAATGAATGCAAATACG